TATATAAAGTTATATTATATATATATAAATATATATATATATTCGTATATATATTCATATATATATATATATATATATACATACATATATATATATATATATATATATATATACATATATATATATATATACATATATATATTCATATATATATATACATACATGTATATATTCGTATATATATTCATATATATATACATACACACACACACACACACACATATATATATATATATATATATAGATAGATAGATAGAATGGATGGATGGGAATAGATAGAAATAGATAAGTACAGATGAGTAGGAATAGATAGATAGTAATATATATTAAGAAATATATATAAGGTTGATTCATTGGAAAATAACATTAATATAATGTTTATGTTAATTTTTAAATTGAAAAATAAATCAGGCGTGTTATTGGCAGTGTGGTATTTTCCTAAATTATTTATTTTATAACAACCATTCATTTTTTAAAAATTTACACTTTTCCCTTTAGGCTGATATTGAGGCTGTATATTTATTTTGCTGCTGGGGACACACACTCGAATGTTTGAATAAATAAATATTAAACATTTTGTCAAATAATTGTATTTAATATTCTTCTTTTAATTTTACGTTATTGTTCATTTTTTTAAATTGCGCTTTTATTTAATATAGATGTGAAAATAAATTCAAAAGAATAGAAATTTTAAAAATACACGCATAGCGTTTAGGAGAATAAAAAAAAAAGTAAAAAGAAAGGTAATCCCTAATCTGGAATAAGAATTATTACTGTTCGTTTTTACTTTTTAATTCTGAGAAATTTCGAATACATTCTAATACATTCTAATTTTAAAATATCTTCGTAAATACAAATCAGACGATGTTAATTTTTTTACAAAACTCTCGCTTGGGTGATAATGACTATGTATATATATTTACTTTGTCAAAACTATTGTAGTTTTTTTTTTAGTTTTAGCCGGACAAACACATACACACACATACAGACAACTGCCTTCATATATATATATATATATATATATATATATATATATATATATATATATATATATATATATGTGTGTGTGTGTGTGTGTGTATAGATAGAAAGAAACATATTCAGATCGATAGATAGATAAATAGATAAGAACAGATAGAAATAGATAAAATATGATCACATTGAGTGGAAGTTTGAGATAGACATAAAAATATTGAGATAGATACATAGGAACATTTTAATATAAATATATGTATATGTATGCAGATAGATAAGTTGACAGATCAGAACATACAGGCAGCATATCTTCATTCAAACATGTTTCATTGAATAATATAAACATATTGTTTTTATACTGATTCTTTCCAGTTCTCAAATCAGTTTCTCGATGTTAAGATTAATTTTTTCAAGGAAGGTGCCATAGTTTTTTTTCTAACCCAAGTGGTTTCGAACCTTTCCAAGATCATCATCTTTAGGGGTAAATTCCAACTATAAACATATTGTAGATGTGATAAAATCTGCTTTTCGTTGTGATGATGATCTTTTAATTTTTTTAATTATTTATCCGTTGTAGTTATGCAATTTCTTTTGCAAAATAAGCCTTTTAATATAAGGGAGCTGACCATAAATTGGTAGAAATGCAAAACGGAATTAAATGTTTGTTTTATGCACTTCAATACGTTGCTGCTACACTTGTAATAAATTTTGTTGAGTCTTGTTTGAATGCTTTTGGTATAGAGGGCGTCAAGAATTTGAAGTTTTTGTCTATTATTTTCGTGGTGTAGTGTATTAGTGTTGTGAACAAGTAATTTCCTGTATTGTGAAGATAGACAAGAATGTGTTTTTAGCTGTTGTCTAATAAAAAACTTGTATCCGATAAATGGAGTGTATGACGCCTTGTTAATGTGGTCATCAAACTAACATATGCACTTACTTTTTTGTCAGAGATAAATTTCCCAAAGGCAATTTAAACTGATATATAATGTTAGTCTTTTTTCCAAAACACTAGTTGATGGAGAAGAGTTATTGCGGGTGATTAATTTGGTTTTGTTAAATTTAGTATAATATATAATTATTTTATTTTTTTACAGGTATTATTGGGAAATATATATTAGTACTTATAAGATTATACAGGACTTTTTTTCATCATGCTTATAGTTAGAATGAAGTTGATTACGGTATATTAGGTTGGTATGTTTAGGGTCATTTGCGGAACTATTATGTTCTTTTTGATTTATGTTAATAATTCTAATGGCTTGTCTAATCTGATCATCAACGATGTAATTAGGAAAGCCATTATTAATGAGTTTGTTTAATTTTTTTTTTAATTCAGTGTAGACATTTTTTTTTCGTGGAGGAGTTAAATTTGCATGATGTATCAAATTTTGTATAATAGCTTTTTTCAATTTTATAGTTTAGAGAGCAAGTGTTTATGTTAGTTTTTTTTATATATGGGAAGGCAGAAAATGCATTATTATTAGTGTCTATAAATACACAAAGAAAATGGATTTTATAATTAATGTTAAGTTCATATATGAAAATAAGAACGGATATTTTAAAAAGCTTTCTTGTAGTTCATGTATTTCATCTATGATTTTAATTAAGCTAAGAATATCATCTACATATCTTAGGTAGATGGAATTTATTTTTAAAGTGGTATTAAATATCTTATTTTCAATGTTATCCATGTAGACGTTAGTAAATGTTGGTCCCAGAAGTGAGCCCATGGAAACTCCATCATGTTGTGCGTAGATATTAGAAGAGAACCATAGGATACAAGTCAAACGTAGTTTTCGTAATATATTAGGTTTAATTTTTAGTGGACAGAGAGATGGATTGTTATAAATATTCTTTATAGTCATATTATTCGTTTCTCTAACTGGGTTAATGGTAAATAAAGTTTCATCATCAAGTGAAACTATGGTTTATATATATATATATATATATATATATATATATATATATATATATATATATATATATATATAAATGTGAAAGCAGGAAGAATGAAACTGCAACATTCAAAACATTAATTTAAAACTGGGCTCAATACAAAAGTAGAGCAATTTATATTATATTTATTATACAATGTTACATTAGAATATGTAAATATATATAATTAGCAATAAAACATTTTTACACCTAACTCATGTTTACTTTAAAGTCTCGTAGTTGCATAGATGCAATTCTTCGTCAGAATAAAGACTTAATATTTCTCGGTTTACACTATTTACATTGTTCGGACGATCGTCCTCATCTTTGTTTCCATATTTATCGCAACGTTTCGGCCATTGTACGCTCCGGCCTTCTTCAGCTGGTTGGAATGTTGAACTGAAGCCTATATTTCGCTCACTGGGGTAGACTGCTCTAGTTTCACGTGCCATGTCTAATGGATGTCAGTTATCAGTTATGTTAATTCCGCTCTCCAATTTATCCGCCGACTTAACCAGGTATTGAACTCACACTCTTTGTGTCCTCTCACTGGATCTAACTAACGCCTTTATCAACTGTTCATTGTGTCTTCAAAAACACATGTCTCAGTGGATAAAGGCGTTAGTCAGTGGTTAAAGACTGATATTTCTCGGTTTTCTTGTACTTTTATTGTAGTGTGAATGTGTTGGTTTCATTGTTGTCTGTTGATTGATTGTTACTTTCATTTTCTTTTTTCTTTATTTAGATATTAGATATTTCTCGATTAAGATAGGGATCATAATTTAATGTTTCAGGATTAAAATCGAATAAAATAAATATAACTTCGATTAAAATGGAATAAAATAGATAAACCTATGGCGCATTTCAACCGACACTTCGTCAGAAGTCAATCGTCTGTATTAAAATTCTAATGAAGGCTTCTTTTTTAAAAAAAAAATAGGATCTTAAAATAGGAATGAAGTAAAGAGTAGCTCGTGCAGCACTGACTTCTCGATCAATGACTGTCTAATGTTTCTTTATAAAGAAACGGCTAACATTACCATTAGCATTTAGAACACTTTGCCTCGTTTTATTCGTAGTTTTATTTTAGCGTTTAAGCTTTTAAATTTAACAAATAGCTGGCATCTTAAAAGGACTTGGAGTGCATTTTTCTTTTTCTTTTGATGGTAAATTTTAACATATCCCCGATTCTTCCTGCAAGACTCGCTAAAGATGCATGTAAAATGATCGGCTCCCCGTACCGCTCCAGTAAGTATCTGACTCCTAATTCTATCCTCTGCCACTTCAGGCTAAAAATAGAGGCATATTTGGGCACAGACATCCATAGGGATTTCCCCCGATTACTACAATCTTAACCTGTTCAAGTCTTGAGTTAACCTGGGCCTTGTACAGGGTGAACGTTACTGTAAAAATAAATACTTTAACATAGATATAATTTTTATCTATTTGTTTTCTAGTTGGTGTGGTTTGATTCATAAATATTTTTGCCTTTTCTAAAATATTATTTTGTTTTTAATTTTGATGCTTGAATTTAATTACTATTATACATTAAGCTGAAGCAAGTCCACAAATACATAGTAAGTAGAGAATCACCCTGATCATTAGACCACGTCGATCGCTGATACTCGGAAGGTGACCGTCTCTCATTTTTATTCGATTCAGTCTTTCCTATGATTTTTCTTTCTTTCTTTTTTCTTTCTTTCTTTTCTTTCTTTGGCGACCAACATTATTATCCAACACACACACACACACACACACACACACACACACACACAAACGCGCGCGCACCTAAGCATTTTTCCTTTAGTTTTTGATATTCCTCTTTATCTATTTCTTTCTTTCTTTCATTCTTTAGTCACTTTTCTTCTATCTATCTATCTATCTATCTATCTATCTATCTATCTACCAGTCTGTTCATATCTATCTATCTATCTATCTATCTATCTATCTATCTATCTATCTATCTCAGTCTGTCCACCACTCTCTCTCTCTCTCTATCTATCTATCTATCTATATATTCTATCTATCTATCTATCTATATCTATATATATATATCTCAGTCTGTTCACATTCATCTATCCCATCGATAT